GCTACTCTCACGGGTCACAAGAATCAGATGAAGAATTTGATGCTCGTTGGGTGACGTATTTCAACAAGCCAGATATCGATGCCTGGGAGCTCAGGAAAGGTATGTTGAATGAAAAGGGAAGAGTGACATGGAATAAGCTTTGCAATAGTTTTGTGACCGGAAATAACAACTTGGTTTTACTTTGCTGTTGGAGAGCAAAAATAGCTCAACTTACAGAAGTGATACAGGCGAGAACCCACTGTTCCTGCAAACTGTGACAACTGGAAGTTTGGTGTGGGAGAGCAATCCTGTAAATATGCAGAGGGGGCAAGGCGCTGTGTGAGCCTTTCTCTATCTGGTCTGAGTCATTTGGGCTGCTCCGCCTGCAGTTGGCCTGCTGCTGTTTGCTCAGCTCTGAGCCCCTTGCAGTGGGTGATGGCACCTCACCAACCAAACAAGAGGGTTGGAAGGAACCAGGGCATGCAGAATGGGGGAGGGTGGGGGGTACAAGGCGGTGGGAGTCCAGGCTCTGTAAATTTTATTGCCGCAGAATACCCATTGTAACACCCAGGTGGAAGGGAGAGAAACATTTGCTCTGAGGAAAGTGTATTTGAGCTCAACTGTTGCCTAGCATGTAACCGCATGCATTTTCCTTTGGACTTTGACTTAGTGGCTTGGCCGTCACTCCCTGTAGACTGTTTATCTGGTTGCCTCCAGTTGTTATTTGCTGTGGTGTTGCCAGTTCCTGTTAAACTACCCCAATTAGGACTTAAAAATGTGTTTGCATAACAGCCAGAGGGATTGTTGCAGCATCACCTGCATGATGAGGTATTGGGCTCTTCCCTTTGAAAGGAGAGGAAGGGAATAGACAGCAACTCAAGTTCGAGTTTTATTACACCTGTAGGAATGAAGTAATTTGAATTTCTTACCAATTCCATAACTGATGTGCCATGGTACAGACAACGACTCCTTTTGAGAGCGTGGATGAAACTGGCCCACTACGTTTTCATTAAATCCACTTAAAATCTAAAGTAATGAGCAATAGTGAGAGGGAGAAGAGCAAAAGAAAACCCTTGGCCCTGTGTGTGTGTCCTCAGAATAGCAGTGAAAATCGTGATCGGCTTCTAATGGCGACTGGTGTTGTGGTAATACTTAATTCTTTCATGAGGAGAAGCAAAATAATGCTCGGCAGGTCCCTTTCAACAGCTGCTTGCTGAGCTAACAGCAAGTTCCTCTTGGTGTTTCTTTATATCCACAGGCATAAACACGCTTGTGGGTTATGACCTGGTTCCAGAACCAAAAATCATCGATGCAGCTCTCAGGGCATGCAGACGGTTAAATGACTTTGCCAGTGCTGTCCGCATCTTAGAAGTTGTAAAGGTGAGTGGAGCGGCAGCCGAGGGTGTAACTGCTGTGTTCCCATTGCTGGGAGCCTGGCAGCGGAAGAGCTTTTCTTGGCTTGCTGTTAGTGGTGCAAAGGGAAACCACTGTTTCCTGCTGCCAGAATCAATAGCTTCATTACGAGCATGTGCTCGCTGGCTTGAAATAATTGTTTTGAGGGAAGAGTACTCAACAGCACAGCTTCACAGGTACAATGTTTTTACTTTTGTACTTTCCTCTCCTGATGCTGGTGGGAAAGTCTTTTAAGGATTTTTCTTCCCTTTTTTTTTTAATAATAGAAAAATCTACAGCAAAAGCAGCTTCCTGGCTTCTTAAAGTACTAAATACTGAGCTGACTGGGAGCAGTAACTCAGGAAGCTGCATAGGCTTGAAAAACAACATAAACCAGCACCTTGAAACCCGAGCCCAGCCTTCACTTAACAAGGAGTGAGAATGGTGAGGATGGAGACAGGAGTTCGATTTCAGTCATAGAGGCCAGCAGCTATGCTCTTCTGACTGTTTTTTTTGCCACAGCTGAGGAGGACTGGCGTGGAGGTCTTTGCTGCTAGCTGCTAAATCCACTTGCTTCAGACTCTACCCCACAATCAGTTGCTTCTTGGTTTGCCATTTCTGCATTCTTCTGTAGAACTGAAACTTTCAGTGGCTTTAGGGACATGAGACCAATGGGAGAATCTTCATAGGTTTGCCTTATCTTTTTTTTTCTATGCTCTTCCTGCAGCTACACCTAAATATTACTCAAGGGGTGGGGTTTTTTTTCCCCTGATTTCCAAGCAAGTTAAATTTTCTCCCAGCTCTGCCCAAAAGCTGACTTTCCCCCCCTGCCCTGCCCTCATTTTACTGATGGGATATTATTTTTGTTCTGTTTCCTAAGGTGTAAGCAGTCTTTGGGCTGGTTTGCGAAGCATCCCTTGCTCAAGGAGCTTGGCTTGGCCTTTAGTTTTGTGCGGTGTGACGCCCATGTCGCGGGCCACGTCAGCCTGATGTTAAGTGAGAGAAAGGCGTCGAGTGTTAAGAATAACCTGTGAGTGCCCTAAAGGGGAGTCCAGCGTTATTCTGGGGTGCTTTGCAATTGGTTGGTAGGAGGGCTTCCTGGTATAGCTGTACGCCAGCCTTGTTTACCTGACACATGGATGAAGCTGGGCTGTGGTCTCCTGTCCTCATGAGTGGTGGGTCAGGCCACAGACCCTTTTGTGAACACACACTTTGATTGCAAACCTGGCCGGCATACGGTGGACTCTTGACAACAGCTTGCTGTCGAAATAACACCTTTCCTTTCCACCTAGGACAAGGCAGGACCTCATAAGGACATCTATCCTTACGTTATCCAGGAGCTTAGACCAACTTTGAGTGAACTGGGAATCTCCACTCCAGAGGAACTGGGCCTGGACAAAGCATAAACCTTATCGGTAAGGGATGCAGTCACTGCCAAGACTCTTGGTGTGGGACTCCTGTACCCTGAGACTCTCCTGGCAAAGAGAGAGTCATCTTCCCCACCTTCGCAGGGCTGTGAAAGGCCGTCAAGCTCAGGCTCCTAACATGGTTCTCCAGATATCTCTATAAATACAGATCTCCTAGAAAAGGTAGTAACCCTTCTCAAAGAAGGCTTAAAAACCCCCCAAACCAGTGCATTTGCTTGAGAAGGGAATGGGGTGCTTGGCAACCATACCCAGCCTCCCAGAAATTTCTAGCTAGCAGTTGCAGAGATGAGGGGTATTGCAGCACTCTGCTGGCAGCATGTCAGCCTTTGTTTCTCATCAGCTTTTTGCTCCAGAAGCATTTTTAGCAAATAGTGGATTCATCTCCTCTGGAAATGCACAAACTTTCATTTTATTGTCACAGTGTAGCCAATTTAGAAAGCTGGGAGACACTAATTACTAGCTTATGCTAGAAAACGGGCCCTGCTGATGGTACTCACCCAACAACACTGACGTTTCTTCACGTTACCCTTAAAACAGCATCTTTTCCTGTAATTAAACACTAATTTGGAGGGCCCCTTGCGTACAGAATAAACAGATGAGCTGTAGCATAGCCAGAGCTTAACGGCTCTGTGTGCGGAACAGTTGGGAGCCTCCATGGATGATTTCAGGATTCATCCTGATTGCAGCGGCCTCAAGGCTCAGAAAGCCGCTTTTTTAACAGTCTTTTTAGAGCTGAATGACAACTGTAATGAAGTCGTTTAGCTCTGAGTGATAAATACCAGGCCCTTGCACGAACTGCAGCGTATGAAGGTGGTGGCACTAAGCAGCAGCTTCTCTAGCTAACGAGGAGCTGTCATTAAGTACAGGCAAGACCTAAGGTGCTATAATCCCAGACTAAAATGAAGCCCTAAATAAAAATCCTCGTGGAAGTAAAGTTCTGTAAAGGCAGTCTCTTAACTCAGTGCCTTCAGGACATGGCCAGTGTCATACTCTGGCCTTTTTAATACTATGCTTAGAATAGAGCTATCGGGTGCTGGGCTGCAAATAGTGCTTAGTTCTGGATCTTTAAATCCCTGCCCTTCTTCTTGCCCTGGGATATGAAGTTGGGGGATGCAGTAATGGCATCTGGAAGCTGTGGGTGGTTAAATTGGGCTTTGAGTGTAAAAGCAAGCAATGAAAATAACACATCTGAGACCCCATGGAAACTTGGTGGAGGTAATGGGCTGCTGGTTTAACGGCTTTTCTCTTCTTTTCTGTTCCAGGTGCATTGCTCGAGCATTTTACTAATGCTACCTGATTGTACATGGTCACCTGGAGACACAAATGTTAAAATATTACCTTATTTGAAATAACTTCTTCCTTTATTGAGTCATGATGTGTGTGATGTGAAGTTGGACCTAATAAAGGAAAGAATGGTTTGACTGATGTGGTAGCGGTGGCTTGTGTGATTATTTCTTTTGGCTTATTATGGGGAAGAGGAAGAAGGAAACTTTTTAAGGGTGGGAAGAGCTTATGAATGGTTATTTGCTTGGCAAAGCATGTGGCTGTGGCCTTGCCCCCTGTTTTGGGAAGGGAGAGGACCTCTCTGGGGGGCATGGTGGCCCTCTTCTAGGCACAGAGGAGGAGAACAAGGACTTGCAAAGCTCTCCCTGCCCTTGGAGGAGTTGTTGGGGCTTAACGAAGCTGCAGAGGTGGGTGTGAGGCTCCTGGTGGCAAGGGGTGTCGAGCCGGGCTGGGAGTCTGGGCTGGGGGAGGTGTTGGTCCCAAGGGCCAGCTTTCAGGGGGAGGGAGGAGAAAAACCAAAACGGGAAAGCCAAAACTCCTTTATTTTATTTAATTTTTCTCCCGGAAATGGGGGATTTCTCAGGAAAAAGCATGATTTGGGACAGGGAAGCGGTTCCCGGTAGCACAGCGGGTTCAGAGCAGCGGCCGTGCATGGTGGGCCCTCCCCCTGCCCCGGTGCTGTCTCCCGGAGCTGTCCCGGTGCCTCCCGGGGGTCGCGCTCCGCATGCGCCGTGAGGGCCGCGCCACCTCCCTGCCTTCCATTGGCTG